AACTATTAAAAAAATGTTCTAGGGGAAATACAAGGGTAGATTCCTACAAGCCTCTCTTCACAACATTCTGTCAAGGGCTCAATATATCACCTTGCTTCTGTTTAAAGACACCTTTTTAAAAACACACTGCTAATTCATGAACACTGAACTCAGGGCCAACAGCACTGGAACTCATGCCTAAAACACACATATTTCCTTCATAAGGGCATGTCACAGTCTTCACTGCTGCAGGTTCCTTTTAAACAGCAAAATCATCATGCCGAAAAAAGCACAAGTGTAAAAAAAATGGTGCTAGATAGACCTTGAAAAGGACACCTTTTTAAAGTATGACAGCTGAAACAAGGCAAAGTGTTGCCTTGTTTGACCTAAGCCAGGATCTAAGACAAATTCCTTAAGATGGCAAACAAGTCCCCAGTAAGTCTGATGCACATTATCTCTCTGACCTTACACCTTACTCACTCTCTCAGGCACCCTGCTCCTGTCACATCAGCCCCCTGTTCATACGCTCAGCAGAGACCAGGGTGAAGAGAGAAAACAGTCTTCCAGGTACAGGTCAGAACCTGTTTTTATTTAGAATTGTGTCCCTTAGATGAATTTTTTTGCATTAATTTTGACTTTTGAAACTGCTGTATTAAAATATCCTTTATCTTGATCACTGGGTTTTTTAGCACCCTCAAATTTTGCAGCCAAAGCAAGTAAATTACTTACTTTGCCTTAGTCTTGACCCTGCCAGGCACTCTTCACTTTTACCAATGGCTGTTGCTTCTGCTTGGTCTGTTCTTCTGTTCCACCTTCTTCAAGTCTTTGTTAAATGGTGCTTCCTTCATAAGGTCTCCCCTGACCATTCTAGTTTTTCTGCAAAATCCTCCCCTCCTCTCCTCCATCTCTACTTGATCTATTTCTTTTTCTACACATTTGAGGTTATTATACTTCTTTATAGACTGTCTTCCTCTCACCCCCAACTCCAAACATAAGCTCCCTGTTTTAGAACAATGCTTACACACAGCATGCACTTAGTAATTAATTGTTCAAGGAAAGAATGTATCAAAAAAAGGGAATCTGAGGCTGGGCCAGGTGGCTCACACCTGTAATCCTAGGACTGTGGGAGGGTGAGGCAGATGGATCACCTGGCTCAGGAGTTCAAGACCAGCCTGAACAAGAACAAGATCCTGTCTCTACCAAAAATAGGAAAAACTAGGGCATTGTAGTGCCTCTAATCCCAGCTACTCAGGAGGCTGTGGCAGGAGAACTGCTTGACCCAGCAGTTTGAGGTTGCTGTGAGCTGGGCTGACCCCATGGCACTCTAGCCTGGGGCAACAGAATGAAACATCTCAAAAAAAAAGAAAGAAAGAAAGAAAAAGTGAATTTGGGGCTTGGCACCAATAGCACAGTGGTTACAGAGCCAGCCACATACACCAAACCTGCTGGGTTCGAGGAGCCTGGCCCGGGCCAGCTAAACAACAATGACAACTGCAACAAAAAATAGCCAGGAGTTGGGGGG